GCTTAGCCACCTTTCTTCACAGTTTTTCCCCATTACTTCCCTTGATATTCTTGACCTTTGTTTTTCCAGATGAATATTGTTATTATTTTTTTCTAGCTTCATAAAACAACTTTTTGGTAGTTTGATTGGTATGGCACTGAATGAGTAAATCAATTTAGGTAGAATTGTCATTTTTATTATGTTAGGTTGGCTTAGCTATGAACAGTTGATATTTTTCCAGTTGTTTGGATCTGACTTTATCTGTGTGAAAAGTGTTTTGTAATTGAGTTCATGCAGTTTCTGGGTTTGTTTTGGCGGGTAGACTCCCAAGTATTTTATATTGTCTACAGTGATTTTAAATGGAGTTTCTCTTTATTAGTCCCATTTTTCAACACATTCACAGTAAATAGCTCCCTCTCACTTTCCAGCCAAGTTCTGAAATTGAAATGGAGCCAAGAAGGCAGCCATCATAGCCATTATTCCTGTGGATCCAGGTCCAGATCTGACTGTAAACTTCTTGAAGCCATATCCTGATTGTGGACAAAATGGAGAAGACTGGTCTCTGGGAGGTTTTTAAAAAAAAATTTAATTAATTTATTTTTTGGTTCTCAATATTCACTTCCATAAGCTTTTGAGTTTCGAATTTTCTCCCCCTTCTTCCCCCTCCAGCCTCTCCAAGACTGTGTGCAATCTAATATAGACTCTACAAATGCATTTGTATTAAACATATTTTCACATTAGTCATGTTGTAAAGAAAACTTAGGACTAATGGGAGGAACTATGAGAAAGAAGAAACAAAACAACAAAAAAAGAAGAGCAAATAGTCTGCTTCGATCTGCATTCAAACTCTATAGTTCTTTCTCTGGATGTGGATAGCATTTTCCATCATGAGTCATTTAGAGTTGTCTTAGATCCTTGCATTGCTGAGAAGAGATAAGTCTATGAAAGTTAGTCATCACACAATGTGGCTTTTACTATGTACAATGTTCTCCTGGTTCTACTCACTTCACTTTGCATCAGTTCACATAAGTCTTCCTAGGTTTTTTCTGAAACCATTCTGCTCATCATACTTATAGCACAATAGTATTCCATTACATTCATATCCCACAGCTTGTTTAACCATTTCCCAATTGATGGACATCCCCCCAGTTTCCAATTCTTGGCTAACACAAAAAGAGCTCCTATAAATATTTTTGTGCATGTGTGTTCTTTTCCCATTTGTATGATCTCTTTGGGGTACAGGCCTAGAAGTGCTAGTGCTGGATCAAAGGGTATGCACATTTTTATAGCCCTTTGGACATAGTTCGAAACTGCTCTCCAGAATGGTTGGATCGGTTTACAACTGCACTAACAATGCATTAGTGTTCTATTTTCCCCACAATTCCAACATTTCTCATTTTCTTATTTTGTCACATGAGCCTATCTGATAGGCATGACGTGGTACCTCAGAGTTGTTTTGATGTGTGTTTCTCTAATCAATAGTGATTTAGAGCATTTTTTCATATGACTATAGATAGTTTTAATTTCTTCATCTGAAAACTGCCTGTTCATATCTTTTGACCACTTATCAGTTGGAGAATGACTTGTATTCTTATACATTTGACTCAGTTCTCTATATATTTGAGAAATGAGGCATTCATCAGAGACACTGGCTGGAAAAATTGTTTCCCCACTTTCTACTTCCCTTCCAGTCTTGGTTGCATGGGCTTTGTTTGTGCAAAAAATTTTCAATTTAATGGAATTAAAATCATCCATTTTGCATTTTGTAATGTTCTCTATCTCTTGTTTGGTCATAAATTCTTCCCTTCCCCATAGATCTGACAAGTAAACTATTCCATGCTCTCCTTATTTGTTTATAGTATCAGCCTTTATAACTAATCATGGACCCATTTTGACTTTATCTTGGTGCAGGGTGAACGATGTGGGTTTATGCCTAGTTTCTACCTTACTATTTTGCAGTTTTCCCAGCAGTTTTTGTTGAATAATGAATTCTTAAGGCTGGATCTAGTTTGAGGTGGGGCAGAGCCAGGAATAGGGCAGAGATGGGGCCCCAGGGACTCTACTAGGAAGGATCAAGTCCTCCTGTCTCACCCCCAAAGCAGAAATCTCAGTTTCAGAGAAGTCTCATCCCAATCTAGCCTGTGCTCTATTTGAGAGTCAATTCCAACTCCCTCAAGTCTGTCCTCATTTAGAGAAGACTTTCCATGGAAGAAGGGCTCAGGAGAGAGTGCCACCTACCCCTAGGTTCACCCCTTTGTATCTCTGAACTTAATCCCCCCATGACAGGGTCCTACTTGTCCCTGGTGACGCCTTCCCTGGGTCCCACGCCAGCTTGCAGGAGGGGATGACAGAGACTTCTCACAGTCCACCTAATCCTTTTTGACCTGTCTGAAGCATTTGACACTTTAGATGAAGTTGAATTGACCTTAGAGCTGGGGTTTTGACCCCACCCCTTTCCAGTTTCCTTTTATGTACTGTCTTCACCCATTAGAACATAAGCTCCCAGTATTCTTGGAAAGAGGCCAAGAAGAGGGCATGGTTGACAGGGTCAAAAGCTTTTGAGACTTCTGTTCAATACAATTTAATTCCATAAGCACTTATTAAGCACCTACCTACTGCATGCCAAATGCCATACTAGGTGTGGGCAATGCATGAACAAAAGGAAAAGCAACACTTGCCCTCCAGGAGCTCCCAATGGATTGAGGGCTTACAAGAAGAACCACAGAGAAACTGGCAGAAGAGGCTGAGCGGCTGGAGACAAGGAAAGAGAAACTGAGCCAGAGCCTGGAAGGTAGTGAGCAGGAAGGTGAGGGAGTATGTGTGTGGGAGGGATGCTCTGTGAGTGTGCCTGTGTTGCATCAAGAGAAGTCTGTCAGCTTTTATGCCAGGGTGCCCACAGCCAAGGTGAGTACGTCAGGTTGGCAGCTAAGTGGAACAGTACAGAGAACCCTGAACTTGGTTTCAGAAGACCTGAGTTCAAATGCCACCTTAGACACTTCCAGGCTCTGGGGAACTTGGCTTCTGTCTGAGGAAGTCCTTAGTTTCCTCATTTGTAAAAGGAGGGTAATAATAATTCTCGGCAGGGTTGTTGTATGGATCAAATGCAAGATGGCAAAGGATTTTGCCAACGTTACCAGGATATTTAAATACTTGTTATTTTTATTCATCTAGAAAGGGGAAGGATTAGAAGACCAGCCTTTTCTCATTAAAGATTGAAACAGTTTTTATCTGCCCCCTTCCCTTCTCCTCCCCCATTCTGAAAAGGAATGATGGGAAGGGTCTGAATTCTCCTCTTCACCAGCAACAGCCTATAACCCTTACCTCAGTCCTGCAGGACTACAGGACACTGGTCCCCTTAGCCCAGAGGGGAAGCTGTTCTGTACTTTGTGTTAGGAAGATCCTGGGTTTCAGAGAAACCTGGGAAGATTTGTCTGAATTCATGCAGAGTGAAGAGAGCAGAACCAGAGAACAATTTATACAAATACAACTTCATTAAGGCAAATACCTTTGAAAGACTTAAACATCTCCAGGCAGTGCAATGACCAATCATGATTTTAGAGGATCAGTGTTGAAGGAAGCTACTCCTATCCTGACAGAGAGGTGATGATCTCAGGGTGTCACAAAAATGTGTATTTCTGTGTACACACACATGTACACATATATGGATGTATACATGCAAATACACATATACATAAATATAGACACACATCTGCATGTATATTTTTGGACATGTGGGTATTTATTTTGCTTGAATAGTCAGAATGCATGTTACAAAGGTTTGTTTCATTTTATGGGGGTTGAGGCAGGAAGAAAAGAAAAAATATTTTGTTCTTTGAAAAATTAATTAAAATGATAAATAAACCAGACTTCAGAAATAGGTTCAATGATAATCATGTCTCCAGGGATGCTGCTGAGGCCTGATTCCTGCATCTGGGATGGGCTAGAGGAACAGAGGAGCCTTCAGCCACCACATGATCATTTTGCTTGTCTATAATAATACTGGCTAGCATGTAAATAGTGATTTAAGAATTTCAAAGTGCTTTACAAATATTATCTCACATGGTCTTTGTAGCCCTGGGACCTAGGTGCTATCTTTATGACCATTTTAAAGACGAGGAAACTGAGGAAGGCAAGGTTAAGTGACTTGCCCAAGGTCACGCAACTAGCAAATATCTGAGACTGGATTTAACTCACACCTTCCTGACTCCAAGTCTCTGTCCTGTGACACCCGCTGTCTGTTAAACAGTTATATGCCTCTTAACTGACCGTGCTAATTTGTTATAAGGGAGAGCTTTTATTGGAGTTGAGTACAATGATAGTGATGGGGAAAAAGAAGAAAAGAAAGATCCAAGCATCAGTAAAACACATAGAAGCACCCAGAGGAGAACAGAAGTATGTTCACAGGGGGACATAGACAGTCTGCTGATAAATGCTTCGGCTCCGCATTTGGGAAAAAAAATGATCATCTTAAAATAACCATAGCTAGCATTTATACAATGCTTGCTGTATGCCAGATGCTTTACACATATTATGTCATCTGATCTTCACAATGGCCCTGGGAGGGAGAGGTTATTATGAGTCCCATTTTACAGCTGGGGAAATGGAGGCTAAGTGACTTCCCCAAAGTTGACCAGCTGGAGGCCAGATTTGAACTCAGGTCTTCCTGAGACCAGGCCCAGTGTTCTCTCTACTGAACTTTCTAGCAGCCTTAATATGACTATTGTTGATATTGTTTTTATTATTAATGCGGGAAGGGAGAGCCCTGATGTGTTCCATTCTGCTCATGTTGAGAGCGTTCAGTTCAAGGCACCACATTTTAGAAAAACCTTGATAAGCCAGAGAGTGTCCAGAGCACCTGGGATGCTGAAGGGCTTCAAATAAAACTGACCCAACTTAAAAAAAACCCAAGCAAACAAACTGTACATGGTAGATTCATGGTTTCATATGGAATCTGCTTTTTTCTGTCTTTGTATATAGAAATGTTTATTTCTGTTGCTATCAAGTCACAAGAAAAGAATTTATTTTTTTCTAAAAAAGAAAAGAAAGTGGGTCATTGAGACATGTAAAAATTGCAGAGCACAGAACAGAAGAAAGTTTGGTGGGAGCTGAAGACAGGAAGACAAGTTGGAAATTAACATGTTGAACTTATCATATGATTAAAAAAACCCAAGCTGTTCATAACAGAAATTCACAATATCTGCAATTGTCTTTTTCTCTTATTCTTTTTCTATGGGAATGTTCATATTGATTGGTGTTCGTTCAATTCTGGATTAGAAAAAGATTCTTTTTTTTTTTAAAGAAAGTTTCCAAGTGAAGGAAGAGCCTAGGGCTCTCTGAGTGTTTGAAAGTTACAAAGTGGAATGTGGGGAGAGGGCACAACTTCTAGGACAGGAAACTAAGGATACTGTTCATGAACTCTTGGGGTTTCTTGATATGGATGATGTGGCCAGCATCAGGGATGGTCTGGAACTGGGCTTCAGGGAACAGGAGCTTTATCTTGCGGTAGTTACTTGGCCTGTCAAGAGAGAAAGAGAGAGAATGAAAGAGGTGAAGACAGGGAGAGAGGAAAGGAGAGGGTGGAAGAGAGGGGGAAAGAGTAAGAGGGAGAGGGTATAAGATGAGAGGGAAAAGAGAAGGGAGAAATGAGGGAGAGACACATAGAAACAGAGACAGAAAAGGAGGGGGGAGGGGGAACAGAGAGAAGATAAAAGATGAGTCAGAGAGTCAGAGACAGGCAGTCTCTGGGTAGGAGGTGAGCAGTAGGTGTGGTAGGTGACAGGAGAAAAAACAAGCTAGGTGAACAGAAAGGATAAGGTGAGACAATATACGTTTTCTCCCAGTGTTGGAGGGACCCTCCCCTCCTGAACCTGAGCATAGCTGAAGCCCCCGGGTCCCCTCATCCCTGGTGATGCAGAACCCAACTGGGGCCCAAGAAAGGCAGAAGTCTTTGGGGCTAGGCATGCCCCTCCACCTTCTGGCCCTGCCTTACGGGATGAAGGATGAATTGCTGCTTCTGAGGAACAGTGTGCGGCCACGATAGATGCCGTGGATATGAAGATTATCCAGAAACAGGTGCTGTTGCTGCCACAGGTTTTCAGCATTGACTTTCCACACATACTGCCCATTGACCTCAACCAGACTGTTGAGCAGGTACCGCCGAATACTTGAATCCTGGAGGGTACAAGGGCTTAGCTGGCACACCCACCTGAGCCCCTGTCTTCTCCCCAGCACTATCCCTTTCTCAGTCCTACTCAGACCAGACTCCAGCTCATTTCTATACACCCTTCTCCCTTCATGTCAACATTTAGTAAATGCCTCCAGTTGATATACAAAGTGCTGGGCGTACAAAGAAAAGGAGAAGATATGACTGGCCTTGGAGGAGTTCATAATTGAAGCCCTCTCTGTTCTCCTTCACCTGTCCCCCTCCCCCTAGAGATTTTCCCCATCTGGGTGGCATTCTACTCCACCCCACCCCCACTCTCCTGAAGACTCCAAACTCAAATGATTGGCTTGTGGCTTCAGCAGCCCATCTCTATGCCCCCGGCCCTGGGGGTCCTGAAGGATCACCTCCACAAATAGCTTCAGATGCTCGTCAATTACTTCAAAGGCTTGGGAGTCAGGAAGATTTCCAGGGAGTTGCATAGCCTTCATACCAGCTAAGACTTCGGAGATGAGTGAACTGCCCATGGTGGCCAAGGGGCTGATATCCACTGAGACCAGGCTGTCCACCAGCTCTGGCTAAAGAAGAAGATCCATCACACAATGAACAATGAACAATGTCCTCCCTCCTCTTCCATGCACCTGGTGATGGTATTAGGGCAGAGAAAGCGGGAACCATGGTGCCCAAAGGGGAGGGATGGGGGACTATAGGTGCCCATTCCATAGCTTGTAAGTGGTCCTGATGCCATGCTCTGGGTCAGCCTTGGAGAGGTGGTGACATTTATGAGGAAAAGTTCTTAGACCTTGACTCTGAACCCTGAAATGCCCCACGGCCGGGGCAGGCATCCATAACTTCTCTTCGGATTTAGAAAGATGAGGTGTGTACCGTCAAGGTCAGGTTATTCCCCCAGGAACTCTCTGCTTCCAGTCCCGTGTTCACTCCCAGACTCAGTATACTCCCAACCCCCCCAAGCAGCTGACTAAGTATGATGAATCTTTGGTGTTGCTTACGGGGTTACAGGCTGCTGTTGTCTGTGGACAAGTATGACATTCTACCCCTTCAGTCCTAGTGGGGCTCCCTCACCTTTTGCAGTGCCAACGCCATGGCTGTCTTGCCTCCCATGCTGTGCCCGATGAGGACACAGGGGCTGAGTCCTAGCTTTGACAGCAGAGCCTGCAGATCAGCACTCATTGCCTCATAGCTGCAGTCAGGGCTATGAGGGCTGTCTCCATGGTTCCTAGCATCCACTGTCAATACCTGTAGGGCTCAGACTTGGATTATCAGTCTCCCTGACTCCTCCCCCTTCCCGCTCCACCTGGGGGTGCTGACCCACTGCCAGCAGCTGGAATAGGCTTGCTGAGGACTCTCAAACTGTCCAGGAAGCCAGCGGGGTACTGAGTAATCTCTGGCAATAGGAGGAAGTGGGGAAGATGGGACCACGGTAGGACAATGGCATTAGAAAGGAAAATATTCTGCTCCCTCTCCCATCCCCCACCCATGACTGTGGCCAGTGCTGGTCCTTCTGCACTCTGGTTCTTGGGTCACTGATTTCCCTCTTTCTCTGACTTTCAGCTTTCTTCCATTTCCTTTTGCTCTGTGATGTTAGGAAAGAAAGTAACTGTTAACTTCATTAACCATAAAGGCATTACAATTACTGTTCATTACTAGGAATGTGTGCCATCTAAAACAAATTTTTAAAAAAGGTTCAATTGAGCCATGGTGACACCTCCAAGATTAGCAGAATTCTAGGTGTCAGTAGTGGAGATATTTAGGTGATAGGGGACCTTTGCTGAATCTCCAGGCTGGAAGGACCTCTGGTCCAACCCTTGGCTGAACAAAAATTCCCCCAAGTGATCATCTGGCCTTTGCATGAAAGTCTCCTGTGAAAAGGAACCCCTACATCCAGTGGTAGTTTGTAGGTAGACTTCCCCTACAAGTCCTCTCTTGTGAGTGAAGGTCTATCCCACGTTCACAGCTCCTGCCTCTCATTTCGACTTCCCCCCGTTGGCCGACATCCTCTCTTTCCCCGCTTCCTCTGACTTTGTCCCTCCTCGATTACTGTCCCCTCTTCCACTTCATCCACTTTTGGGAATCTTTACCTTCCTGCCTGTCTGCTTTGCCAGGGCCTCAGCCTCAGCCTTGAAGATGTCTTTGTTGCTCAACAGTCCGTGCAGGAAGACGACAGGTGGGAGGGTGTCCTGACCATCCAGGAGCCTGTAGGAAAGGGGCACTGGCCTGGCCAGGGCGAAGAGAGAGAAGGGCAGAGGAGGAGGGATGGATCTCATCAGGAGATGTGTAGGAACATGAGATAGTAGAGGAGTACAGTGTTTCTTGGGCTCTTATTTCCTCCATGCAGGTGCCTCTGATGGTGAGATATGAATGTTCATCCACAAGAGGAACAGTTGGAGTGTGGAGTGGAAGGTCTGGTACAGAAGGGGGAGTCAGAAGCAGCCCCAGGTCAAGTGGATGTCTGGGGGAAGTGAGGGAGGATGGAGGAAGACAGGGATGGCTATAAGGAAGGGGAGATGAAAGAGGTGAGGTTTGGAAGAAGCAAAAACAGGAGAAGGGAGAGAAAGAGGAGAGCTGTGGTGATCCATGTAGGAAGAGAGCAAGGGAAAAAGGGAAGGACTGACCAAGGGAAGGCAAGGAAGGGTAAAGGGGAGAGAGGTGAACTGAAGGGATGTAGGAAGGAAGAAAAGGAGGGAGGGAGAGAGAGGAGGAGGGAGGGAGAGAAGAGTCTGGGGAAAAGAAAAGGATAGAGGGAGAGAGAGAATGAAAATGAGTGGGTAAGAGGAAAGGAAGTGAGGGGAGGACACATGGAGAAGGGAAAGCTTGGAGGAAGGAGGGTGGGGGTCAGGAAAGGAAGAGAATAAGCACAGAGAAAGGGATGGGAGAGGGGAACTGGAGGAGAGGAGAAGAGGGCAGGAGAAAGTTGGGGGAGCAGAAAGAGAGGTCAGGGCCAGGAAAGAGCAGAGGTGGCCCTGTGTGCTCTGGACTGACCTGGGTGCATTGCTCCTGAGAGTGGCCGTGGATAGACCAACACCTTGAATATGTGATAGCCGAGGTTGTGAGGATCTCCAGAGGTTTCGAGCCCATTGCCACATGCTGAGGATGAACACCTGCCTCTTCTGGTTTTCCTACACCTGGTGTGCTACACAACTTGTCCTTGCCAGAGCCCTGCCCATGGCTTTTCCCACCCCTTCATTGCTCAGGAGCACTGGGATCCCCTCCCTCCTCCAGCCTTCTTCTTCCTCCCAAATTTCTGACAGCTAATTCATAGCTCTTTCCACCTAATTGCACTGCCCTAGGTGATGGAGCCTGAAGGGCTTAGCTGACACCTTACTCCAGACTCACCTCTCCTCTCCTCTGTGGGATCAGAGGATGGTAGAAATGGAAGGACCCTTTGAGGGCATCTGGTGCATGAGATGGTGGACTGGGAAGCACTCTGCTCTGTGTTATTTTTTTTCTTCTGTTTTTTGGTGCACGGATTGACAAATATTTTTGCATGCTTTTTTTTTCAGTCTTGTTTTTGTTGTGTGTCAATAAAAGTTATCTAACCTACAATGAGAGACTGAGGCATAGCTCTGAGCCAATGGCACTTCATTAAAGGTCCCACGGTCCCCTCTAATGAAGTGGACCTTAGATCTTCCTCATGATCTGAGATACTCCCTCCTTCTAGGGCCAAATTTCTACAGGGGTAGATACATAGACATTCTTGAGCAGCTATACCAAATGCAGAATAATTCCATTGGTGGACATATGATTCCTAGGCTAAAATAAGCAAACAATATATCAGCAGGGTTACAGGTTGGGCAAAACAAAAAATATTTCCACTGCCCAGATGATCACAAGATGGATGGGCTTCTCCTTAGGTTCCACAGGAACTATACATGAGCTCCAAGAATGTATGAGAGAGAACTTTCCTTTCCATTCCACCACCCATCTGTGATTTGGCCATGAAATTCAAAAAAACAAGATGGAGATATCTTTGTCAGTATTCTTATGGTTGTGCAAGTGAGCTCCTCAGCCGGCAACCAAGGAATTTATGGCTCTGAAGGAGAAAGTGACTTTGCACAGCCCTCCCTCACTTCAAGCCAATTCACTTGCTAGCCAGGACATCACCTTCCTAAAGTCATGGTCCTCGTTGAGAAGGAAGGATAAACCACTACCTGTGAATAGTCTAATCTGGCCCCTGGGGACTGGTGATCATTGAAGGTCATTTGAGCCAATAATGGCCAAAGCCTGAACTAATCAACCAGAAGAAGCATGCCAACATAATAGACATGCTTTTTCTTTGTTCTGAGTGAACTCAAAATGCCCCTGTGTCAGCAGTTACTGGACCAGATGAAGCTGACCAGCATTCTTCTGTTTAGGACCACTAAGGTGCCTTAGACCGGGACATTACCTTGAATAATGGAACTTTTCTTATCTTGATATTTTATGGCAATACACTATGCTATGTCATGTTAAAGGTAAGAGAAACATAGATATCATGAATCTATAATTTCAATGAACACTTTGACATTCTTCTATCTTATTGTATTTACAACCTATTCAATTAAGAAAATTCCTTTCTCATGCTATGGTTAGACATGTATAGAGATCATAAATCTGAGTGACACAGACATCCTGAGTCAGGATTTAAATGTCCTCCTAAAATAGCATCATTCAGTCAGAGTTAAAGCTTTGGCTCCATGTACATGTTACTACCAAGAGAATAAATAATATGAATTTACTTATCACCCAGCTTGTTGCCTGTTTAACCCACTTTCAGGTATACAGGACCCAATTGGCCCTTCCAGTTAGGCAACTCAACTCCTCCTCTCCTCTTCCCTCTTCTCCTCTCCTCCTCCTGTTCTCTTCCTTCCCCACATAGGATATGATGCCCTTACCTGAGGGTGCTCTGCCCAAAGAAAGGCACAGTTTGAAAACTGAAACCTACCTAGGTATCTTGGGGTTTCTTGTCTAGATTTCTTTCTTAAAGCCCATGTTTTAAACCAATTCACTCTGGCTCTCATTGATTGGCCAGCAATGGGTCCCTACCCAAGCACCATTTAATGGTTATTGTTTGGGCCCCCTAATCTAGGAGGGAATGTAAATGGAAATTGTTTCTCTTTTGGCCAGAAACCCTGAGGGCCTTTCCCTCCATGTTTTGGTCTTTTATTTACTTTTTATTAAAGGGGCCATGCTTTGGCTCACTTCTTAAACAGACCTAATCACCAAGTGGGCCCTATCTCAGTCAAAGTGAGAAAAGGAAAAGAGTTTAGCTTAAAAAAGCCAGTCTCCCACTAGATCCTGAGTCTTCTCCAGCTGCCCTGTTCTGTATCTGGCCACTGGACCCAGATGGCTTGGGAGGAGAAAATGAGGCTGGTGACTTTGCACAATGCTCCCTCAGTTCAAACCAATTCACTTGCAATTCATGGCATCATCTTCCTAATGTCATGGTCCACTTTGAGAATGAAGAATAAACCACATGGTGTTCTGATTTTTGACTTAAAGGAGGAAATGTGAAGGGAATTATGACTTTCATATTCATTGATATTATACATGTAATGAATATACTGCTAATTTTGATTTCTCAAGAGACGCTGGCTTGGGAGTCAGAGACTTACAATGCAAGCAATCAAACCCTTGACAATGCTCTCACAATCACTACATTCCTGTGCCTGTGTATGTTAAGTGAAGCCAGTTGAAGACTAGAGAACCTGTTCCAATAACAAAACTCTGGTCCTTTGCCCCACCAAGTAATGGCCCCCAAAGAATTGGAAAAATACTGTTCCCACGGGACTCCAGATCACCCACATTGTCCCTCACTTGTGGGCTTATTGTGGGAAACCACTTAGACCCTGGAAATGATTGTTTGTAATCCACCTTCCCCCACCCCCTCCTTTTCCACTTGTGATTTATGTGTGTTGGAAATGACCTCCGGTGCCCAAATAGGCACAGTAAATTAGACAGACTCAGGATGAGTGAAGCAGTGAAACCTTTAATAGGTTCCCAAAGGAAGCGGGTGTGGAACTCGAGATAAGCACACCCACCTGACAGAAGTGAGAACAAACCTTATATCTCTATTCCTGGTGGCAAGTCCCTCCTTGCTGACTTTCATAGGTAGAAGTCAGCACAGTTCACAGACTTCCCCAAGTGCCCACCACATGTTCCCCTAGGTAAGTTTCAAGCTTGCACACTCTAACTAAAGCTTAACTTTCCACCCTCTTTAATCAAACAACCAGTTTCACCCAATTTTAGCTGGTTCTCAAAGCTCCTGACTCAAAGCTACTTTCCTCGTATGGAAATATAATCGTTCTTACTTCTCAATATATGCCTTTACTCTAGCTTAGAGAGTATTTCTCACTCTGAAATCAATTTATTAAACTGTTACTTGTTTCCTGGTACTCCTGTCTCTGGCCTGCTTGAAGTGACTCCAGGTATTCACAGGTTAGAGAAGAGTCCTGTCCAGACTACATTTAAAATTCTGTTAATAAAGGTTAATGGCAGAATCAGAACCACAGAATTGGAGAAGTGAAAGGGGCCTGCAGGGCCACCTAATGCATCCCATCCAGTGAAGGAATCCCCACTGCAACATCCCTGACAAGTGGTCATCCAGCTTGAAGTCTTTAAGGAGAGGCATCCCAACACCTCTCCAGGAAGCTCTTTCTACCTTGGACAACTCTGTTAGAAGGTTTTTCTTTAAGAACATAAATGAACCCCGCAGTATTTTTTTTGGTGTGTGTGATTTCTTCATATATTATCCTTCCCTCTGGATCCAAATAGAGCAGATGTAATCCCTTCTCTACATAATAGCATAACACTTGAACACAGTGTTCATGTCTCCCCTGAGTCTATTCCTTTCCAGGCTAAACATACCTTTGCTCAAAGAAAGAACCCAAAGCAGGAGAGGCAGTGAAAGCTTTGAGTTCCTGCCTCAGGCTCACCTAGATGACCACCTGCTGCAGCTGCCATGAGCTGCTGAAGACAGGAAAGGAGCAGCTCCCCCCCCCCAAAAAAAGTCCAAGACAAATTGGTTTCAAGCAGTTTTGGAGCAGGGTTCTGGGAGAAGGGCGGAGGGCACTAGCCATGACAGGATGGTAGCAAAGTAAGAATATACCATTCTCTGAGTTTTGGGTACAAGCCTGGCAGAAATAATTTTATGAATTAAAATTATTCTAATCTAAGTATTTTTTCTGCTTAGAAAGAGAACTGTCCAAGCTGACACCCTCCTCATATCCTTAGACATATGCTCTCTTGACGAAAGTCATTTGAAGTCACAATTTACAGTTATCCCTTTCATATCACAGTTTCAATATACCATGGGTTGGCATAAGAAATTAAATGGGAATTTTTGGGGGAGTTTTGTGAAAGCCACATATGACATGTAAAGGCTAGCAGATCACATAAAAAATGTTTAGGAATTCATAAATGGATAAGATATATGTATAGTATTGTGTAATATAACATATGTATCATTTAATATCATAATAATTCTGACTTCTTCTCTGGTATGAAGGGAGGGCCAGAAAACTTCAGGCAAATTTTCCATATTTCAGGGGTGTGGCCTTGGTATCTATATCACGAATTGCACAAAGTCATTGTTGAATCAGGCAGAAGCTTTATTGATGACCTGGGAGGGGCCAACAAGTGTGAGAGAATGCAGGTGAGAGCGTGTGTGCCAACAGATGTACATCTTTTTATTCCCTATTCCCCATTCTAATCTCCTTCTTCTATTTCCCCATTGTCTGGGTATTATAAAGGTGACAGCCTATCTGAAGTGCCTAATTTCCCCTCATGATTCCCCTCTAATTACATCTCCCACTCCCCACAGTTCTGGGGCCCCATCCCTCACTTGGGAACACCCTGTTGATGTTCATCTATACCTAACCTCAGAACTGGTTCTTAGCCCTTTAGTCTGTTCACCAACCAACAGTGTTTTCTTATTCTAATTTATGGCTTTCCTTATTCAACTTCCACCTAGCCCCTAGAATTCACCTTTGTGGAAATGAAAACTAGCTATTTCCCACACTCCCTCCCAGTCCAAACTGACTCCAATGCTGTCACGTATGGCTCAACCCCTGATTGCGTGACATGCAGAAGCAACATTC